GTGTGTGGATGTCTGTGGAGTGAGGTAAATATTGAATTGGATGCGGGTCTGTGATTTTATTGAGTTTTGCCAATTTCATTAGTTGTTTATCTAATAAATGTTGTTATATTTGGACTTGGTAAAAAGTGTCTTTGTCTTTATGATTCAGCTGATAAAATGACGACATCAAGGAATCCGGGCAGAAGAGAGAATAAAACGACCCAAAAGATTTTAATTATTCTTCTTCTGATTTAAATGAACAGTTTTAACTTTCTTTAATAGTGGTCTTAAAAAGTCTTAAATTTGAGTTGTTTCATGCAGATACTGATTTCTAGAGTTAGCGATGCTAACTGTGCTAATTGAAGTATTACGACCTGGTTTTACTTCTGCGTTGTTTTGCATTGCTCACTCTCACACCGTGTGACGTAGCCTCTCTTTTTAAATCAGTACCTTTCACTCATTGCAGGAAGCATTGCTAGCAACATTTAGTTTCCAAATATTGATACCGGCAGATCAGAACATTACAATTACCGTATATTAGAAATCAATCAGAATATTCTAACCAACATGATGCAGTACTCCAGTACCATCAGTACTCACTCCATGATGGCTAAGCAAGCCCAGAGCCCGATGACGGAGCTCTCCGTCGGTCACCGACCGCGCCATTTTGGGCTCGTCTTCGCCGCACCCCTCCGTTTCCGAGAAGGAGGAGCCCTCGCCGGCCTCCGCCACACCGGCCTCCTGGTGAGTGGGGCTCCCGCTGCTCCTCCCGCAGCCCTGCGCTGCCTTCTGGCTGCTGCACGTGTCCAGACTGCTGGAGGACGGGGATGTGGTCAGGCTGTCGGAGTCCAGCTGCTTCTGCAGAGCCGAAGCCAAGGAGTCCAGGGGACAAACCAAGGGTTTCCTCTGCACACCTGGATGCTGGGAGACGCTGCCCTCACCACAGGGTAGACCATCTACACTCAGGCTCTCTGGGCAAACAAACGTACAAGTCACATGAAAACTGAGTTCTTAGTAGGACAGGGATTTATGTAGAGTTTGCACAATTATAAACGACTACAGTCTGTTCACTCAACTACACAAATGCTAAGAAACGATGCTCATCTAATCTGACCAGAGGTTTAACCAGAGAAACAACCAAGAGGTCCAGTGGTAACTCAGGAGGAGCTGCAGAGATTCTCAGCTCAGGTGGGGGATGCTCTTAGCTTTCACACCACAAATCTGGATTTTTTTTTGTCCACAAGCTTGGTGAGATGAAAGCCATTGTTGAAAGAAAGCAAGGAGAAGTCATGAGAGCAGCATCCTGCTTTAGGGATGCATTTCATCATTGGGAAAATACATACATTTTTATAAATCACCATTTATTGACATAAAATTGTTTTGATTTTATAAATGTGGCAGGGAGCTGGTTGAACTTTGATGACCTCTGGAAACATGTCCTAATATCTTTAAACAAACTATTTGCTGCACAAATGTTTGACACCAGTTTCATTTGATTTGAAGAAGGGGAGTAAGGAAGACAAACTTCACTCAGATGGAAGCTGGTCCAAAAGTGATGCAAACATGGATGATGTTAAATATAAAGAAACGCGGGAGACAAAACAGAACCGGAACCAGAACCAGAGATTGATGAAGAGGTTCAACTTCCAATCACCCTGAAAACAACAGGAGCTACACAGACCTGGCTTAGAGCAAACCATATTTATTTATCTAGAAGAATCCCCTACTCAGATTTCAAACCTAAATCCAATTCAGAATCGCTAATAAGAGTTGAAAGTTATCGACAGACATTTTTGGGAAACTTTGCACTGAAGGATCAACAACAAAATTCAGACTGAAGCTGAGGCAAACCCAGCAGACCTGCAGCTGTACGTGTGGTTTCACACCGAGGACGGAGAGCGAGGGTTAGGTGAACACTTTCACATCACATTTTCACTTGTGAAACAAAAAGGTTCAAGGGTTAGTAATACTTTTATGTGTATGTAAAGAGAGAGAGGCTTCAGTACCGTCCGCTGCGAGCCTTTTGGACTCATCTATTCTGATCAGCTTCTTCTTCACTTTCCGAGTGGAGTTGACCAGTTTGTGGAGCCTTTTGAATGTCGGAGATTCCTCCTCATTGTCAGACTGCTCAACAGGCTACAAAAAAATAAAAAATAAATTATTGTTGATATTCCCATCTTAATTTAATTGAACATTTTCTAAAGTTTACAAACAGTAACACAGCCTGCCTCTACTTCTTGTTACAGAACATGGTTGCGTATAAATACACTGCAGGAAACCACAGAAGTATTACTGCGCATCAAGCAGATGGCAAACCATTAAGCTACGTGTGAAAGCAAGGCTAAAATCAGGTGTGTGAAAAGGCACGGGTGTGTGCTCGGAAATAACGCCAACCACCGTCTGAACTGGAAAGCCAGCGGCGTGTCTAAGGTCTGACCAGAACGAAGGCAGCGAGTGTGACCCAGAATACTCATTTGGAGACAAAACGACAGCCGGTTATAAACAGAAACTTCAATATGAGGGGAAATTAGAGAGAAAACACCAAATGAAGTTCATCAGAAGCAGAAAGGACGTTCAGATGAATCTGAAAAATGTGCCCTAATTGCCCCACTGGTGCATAAAAGAGCTGTGGCATGCATAACAGTGGCCCTGTGCTGAATCCGGCCGCCCGCTGCAGCACAATGGGGGGTTAGCGCTTTGACAGCAATGAATAGGAGTCCAGCCGGAGCCCTGCGGTTGGGAAAGGGCCCCGAGCTGCAGAGCTTTAGAGGGGCCTCGGTTCACCACCGGGACACGGGCAGAGCCAAAGAGGGGAAGTGCTGTCAACAGCTCAGCAGCCTTGGCAACAGCAAACCAGAGGCGCCGCCGCTGCGTGAGTTAGCGATTCAGAGGTAAACAACGAGCGAGGGCCCTGGAGAGCGGAGAGACTCACGGTGCAGCTGAACGAGTCGTTTGGACCGGGCCCCGAGGGGTCCAGGGACTCGGGGGTGTCGCATCGGCTCGTCTGTCTGCTCTGGGTCTCGAACTCCTTCAGCTGCAAAGAGAGACAGAAGCATTTCGGTTGGTTCAGTGAGACAAGGGAAGTTTGTCGTAACAAGCAGTTAATTAATTAAGCTCATGATTAAATTATAAAAGTCCTGAAGGAGAATTTTGTTTACAGAAACCTCATAAATCCTTTTATTTGTCATTTCTATTGTTTTATTTGTTTTGGATATTTAAAATGTCTTCCAGCTCCAGTTTTAAAAGTTAATTGGAATTGAAAGTTTATTATTATTATGCTGTTACCATTATGTTTACTTCAACATGTTCAGAAAACAAGAATATTATCGTTTATCGCAATAAATTCTAGAGCATTTTATCACTCGGAGTCATACAGGTAAATATGGTTTACAGTTCAACAGCGGAGAAGAGGATGGGACACATTTCATTTATGTTTTTAGGTTAAATAAAACATACAGATGCATCTCAATAAATGAGATCTTCAGTAAATTCAACATGTGAAACATTTTTCACACATTGACGTATCTAAAACATTTATTTTTAATCTTAGTTTTGATGATTATTATAACATCATAAAGTGTGAATATAAATGAGCTTAGACAGGATTTTTTAAAGTCCAGACATGCAAAGTTATGGCTACGCTAACACTACTGAGCTAATGGTCGTCAGTCCTTCAGCAAAAGATTTGAGCCAAAATGGGTCAGTGCTGGAAAAGCTGGTTGTTTACAGAATACTGGATCAACATTTTTTTACAGGAAAGTTGTGTGGAAGGAAAAAATGTGGAACCATATGTTTACAAATGACTCTGTAACAAAAGTACCCAGGAAATGTGCGCTGTTAAACTAGCATGAGCTTCCACAACACCTCAGCAAGGTGTTGCTGCAAGGATGCAGCAATTTATGCAAAAACAACCCAGATATGGAGTAAAAACATTGCTTTTTATTGATGTTATGGAATATTAAACTTATTTCAGAAACAGAATTTGGAGTTTTGCTCAGCTGCATTCATCAACATTTACATAAAGACATGAAATAAACCACCCTGTCTTTACTGAATCTACATAATGAGTTTCAGTTCTGATCATCCTTGATGATGTCATGTATTTATCTCCACCTGTTTGCTCATTTTAACTTTTTTTTTTAAAAGAAACTTTTTTTTCTAACAGGTCTTTGTTGATTATATTGTCTCAATTCACTGTAACTTTTCTATTTTGCGAATACAATATTTATGACTCCATACCCGTGCGAGCGCTTCCTCTATCGAGATCATATTCTCCTTCACCATCATCATCAGCTGAATACGCTCTTCATCGCTCATCGTGATCTCGCTGGCAACGAAGCCAACATCGTCACCTGAAACAAACAAGCGCAGTGTTTAAATCAGCAGGACAAATAATAAAACACTGAGCTATATTGTTCAATAACTTGTATTAATCACATTATTTTCCTGGGTTTTGTTTTACCTTTTGAAGTCTGGCGCATCACTCCCTTCTGTGACTTGCGGAAACTCTGCCATAAAGACTTGCTCTTTTTCCTCGCATCCCATTTTCCTGAAGAGAAACACGCAAGGAGCACGCCTTTTTAATTTGGCATTAAAAATGAAAACATGATTACGATATTTACAGGAAGAGTCGTGGAAATCTGTGGACTCCAGTAAAAAGTTCTTCTTACCTCCTGATCCGTCGTCCGAGCTGGATTTGTGGACAGGAAACCTGAAGACATTAAATCCACATTTAACTTTTGAATTGTTTAGATGTAAAGTCAAACCCCCGACCAGAGCCAGTACCTTCGATCCAAAATTATTCTCTTCATCCTCAATCCCTTTTCACCATTTTCCACCCCCTTATCAAGAAGTCTTGTCTGTCTTCTCCACTTACGTCAGATTCACAGAGAACAAGCTCGTGAAAACCCAAAAGGAATCACAAAGGCGCACTGTGCCTCATGACAACAGCAGGGCAAATTAAAGCGGTGGAAGCGGACGAAGCAGAGTCTGTGCTGCTCCGCGTTGATGAACAGAGGTCAGCGCTCTGTGGCCATCCCTGGAACAATGGAGGCTTTTTCTCTTCTGGTTGGGGTTTTGTGGCAGCAGCAGCAGCAGCAGCAGCAGCAGCAGCGTGGCGTCTGAATTCCCCACACACTTTCACACTCAGTCTCTGTCTCTCTGTCTGTCTCTGGGCTCTTTGTTATGCATGACTGTCAGTCCCTCCCTCAGCTGACTCCTGTTGTTGTTTCTGTGCATTTGCCTTCAAACAGATCAGACCTGCTTTGTGGTAAATCAGGCATTCAGGTCAACCATTCTCTTCACAGAATACAGAGAGCAACTACAAGCTACAGAAATAAATAATTGTCTTATTTTATTACTATTTTATAGAAGCCAAATGCAAATTAAGCCCTTTTTATAGCAGCTGGCTGCATGTTGCAGTTGAGGGGCCTGCTGACCATCACCCTAATCTTTAACTCCACATGCAGGTAATGAGCTGGGCGGCTCTGAAACAACATTACTAAAATATTAGCAACAGCTTCCACATTAAAGAGGATTGATAACAGTGCATTAATGCTTAGCTGTGCTGCGTTTACTGATCAAAACTGGATTGGATTTCTGAGTTTTTGACAGGTCAGATACCGGTGAGTATTGGACAAATTTCTAATCCATCATAGTCAAGGTGGTTTTGCATTTGAGATTTTTAACGTCATTTTATTTTATCTAGGTTTTTGTTTTTATAACCCGTGTCCTGCAGTGTGAGCTAAAATATTTTCTTTAAAAAAGGCTGCTGCATTTAGATTATATTCTAGCTATACTACAGCATTTCCTCATCACTACTCCTAAAAAAAGAAGCTAGTTTTATGTTCTGCTGTGCATGATTACATAAAAAAATGGATTCATTATTAATTTAGCCTCAAATAAATTCAGCAGAAAGTGGAGATTTGCACAGCCTAGACAAGGACAACAACAGATCTAATTATGCTCCCTTCTTGTTTGGCAGCTAATTGTCAGCTTCCTGAGGTAAATCCCACCAAGAAATTTAGGAATAAAATTAGATTTTTAACTGCAACGTTGGGATTTTAAGAATAAAATGTGAGAAATAAAAATGTCTTTGATTTGATTATTTTTTCAGGCTTGTGAGGTTATTTGCAACAATATGCTTTCAGCCCACTAGGGGGCAGTATGCACATCTTCTGAGTGGATGTGAAAGTTGAGTAAATTCTTTTGTTTCCTACAACTGCATCCAGATTTATGATAAGACTGGTAGTTAGAATGAAATGTCTGAACTTTCAGTCTCTCTTCCTCTCTCAAACAATCCTGATCGATTAATCACGACTCTTTGGCATTAGTCATCACCTATGTCCGTTTTTCTAAATCTGATTCAGCTTTCTAAGGAAAAAAAAAATGTGAGTAATCCTTATAAACCTTCGGAAGAGACAATGAAGGGAAGGAAGGAAGTGCGAAGGTTACGCAGAAACGCTTCATAAGTGTGACAGCGGGGTCAGCAGGAAGGGGAGGAAACGCACGTGGCCTCAGGCCTGACGGAGATAATGGAGGAAGCCTAATCAGGCCGCAGCCCGCAGACGTAGATCCAGACTGCAGATCCTAGATCTGACCCTCCCTTTACTGAGAGAACCGGTCGTTAACGGTTTTGTTTGTACCTCCTCTCAGTCTCCGGAGTCGATGTGCCGCTGCTGAGTCCAAGAGATTCCTGAAAAGATGAGAATCAATCGATGAGACGTTTAAGAGTTTCAAATCTGAATTCCTGAAGATCACAAAACTATTGCTTCACATTGTGTTCTGATGTGAACCAGCAGCAAATAAACGTCTCATGTTCCGCCTCGTGTTTACATCTGTAGGCCGCAGTTTCAAGGACAGCTCTTCCGCATCCCCAGCCAGTCAGATGTTACTTTTTGGGCTTCTCACGTTGCTTTACCCGGCGATCATCGTGACCTGGCGACCCCTCCCGGCCGCCTATCGAGCGGTTTTGTCCTGCTGACGCACAGAACAGGAAGCGGCAGTGTTCTCCTGGGGTCTGACACTCACCTGGAGCTGAGAGCGGAGGTGTGGCGACGCGGCCGCTGAGTCAACCTTTCCCTGAAACGCAGTGGGAGCAGAGGAGTAAATCACAGTGTCATCGTAATGAAACACTTGGCTTGAGGTTCGTCTGGTTTATATGGTCAGTAAACATTTTCAAAGTGTTACTTTAAGGGCTGTTTAATTGCGTCTGAGCCCAAACGGGGCAGGACATCAACACCTACAGGCGGTTCGTTTGTTTTTTCTCTCAGCGCCTTAGTTACAGGGGATGTGAAAATAGTACGTTTCTGATAAAATGTCAGATTTTTGTCCTTTTTCCACCTTTAGTGACACAAGCAATAACAATAAGGCCTGTCACAATAAGCAATAAATCAATTTACCGCAATAAAATTTAAAACATTTAAAATGTTTCTCTTTTATCTCTTTCTGCCAAAAACTGGATGACTAAATCTTCAGTCTGGTACTTTGGTCTCAAATAGCTCTTATTTAGTCTCTTATTTTGAAGGACCGTTTTGTTTACAGAGACTAAAGTATCCATTTTATTTGTCGTTTCTGTTGTTTCCATTTCCTGTGTTAAACGTTCATTACAATTTAAAGTTTATTGATGTTTCAGGATGTGTTCTTGCATTGTTTTGCCATCACTAAAAAATGGTCTCAAAATAACAATATTATCATTTATCACAATAACATCTGGGACAATTTATCATCCAGCAAACTTTGTTATTGTGACAGGCCTAAATCCGCATACAGAATCACTCAAAAAGAAAATATAAAATATATACACAAACAGAATAAAGGATACAAATATTGTACATTAAGGGCAACATCACCGATTCAAACCAAAAAGTAAACCAATACATTTAAATCTTTTAAAAGGGAAAATGTAGAAAAAGAAAAAAAAAACCTCTGCAATAACCTGCTTGCATAAATCTGCACAATCAAATATTGCATTCAGTCCTTTCAACAGCATCAATGGTTCCAGTGAATCTAATTAACACATGCAGTTAATTAGATAGTGAAACATGGTGGGGGCAGCATCATGCTGTGGGGCTACAGAATCAAAATTATTCAAATCTTATATCCTAATCAACAAGCAAACTGCTTAATGGGATGAAAACTATTATTCTGGAATGGCCTAGTCAAAGTTCTGAACTAAATCCTAAAGAAAATCTATGCGGTTACATGGAGAGATAGAAATATCATTTTAATCTAATAGATTTGGCAGATATACAAAGCTGTGGCATTATGAATCATTCCTACTGATGCAGACTGAAATAATTAAAAGGGGCTTCAAAAAAAAGTATTATTTTGTTCATTTACTTAAATTAGGACAGTGCATATTAATCAAAACGTCAGCAGTTAGCATCAGTGCAATGTTGGAGTTAGCACAACAGCTAAATTCATTTAATTTCAAATACAAGATGCCGTATAAAATAAGCCAATCAGTAGTTTTCCAACAATGTTTCAAAGAGTTTTTAAAGCTGGAGAAGGTGCCACATATAAGTTAAGAGTATTAGTTAATTAAGCTAACAGTTTAAGATCACACATCTGATCAAAATATTAAAAAAAAAATTTTTATACGCGTCTCTGAAAGATTGTTTAAAATGTGCAAATTAAATGTCACTAAGGATAGGAAATAGATGTAAACTGTTTTATTACGATTTAATCTGACCTAAAAACACAGAAGCTGACAGGAGTGTGAACGCTTTCCAGAGCCTCTGTGGAAAGCGCTCCACAGAGGAAAATAAATACCCCTCTTTTGTAGTTTATAGGAGAAAATAGCACCCTGCAAAGATAAAACATGTTATTGAGGCTTCTGCTGCTGCAGGCCGTGTATTTATCCCGAGGAAGACATTTAATCTTCTCTGCTACCTGAACAATGCAGATTTTTCCAGTGACGTCAAACTCTAAAAGAAACAAAAACAAAAAACAACAAAAAGGAAAAAAAAAAAAAGGGTTAAAGATTCCTCACCATCTCCATCTCTTGCACTAGTTTGCGTTTCCGTAGCTCCTCCATCCGTTCGCACACGTCGCTGAGGGAGGTGCCGTAGTACTGCGAGTACTCCTGGGCCAGGTCATCAAGGTTCCCCACAGAGCCATCCTGCCACACACACACACACACACACACACACACACACACAGGTGTCACAAAACCGTGATAAGCCATTGTTTGAAACTTTTGCCGCTGTCGGTGGTAAAACAGATAAGCAGGAAGCGGGAGAGATTAAGCACCAGGAGGGCAAAAGCTGTGATAAAGCCTGTATCTTCACCAGAGCCATCATGTTCCTGCTCAGATATGACCCCTGCGGGGGAAGGAGAGGCCCCGACTGACGCAACTCCGACACTCACCGTCCTCGAAGCCATCGAGACTCGACCTAAGAGGCCGCGGATCAGCCTGCCGTGAACCACAAGGAGTCGGTCACATAACTCCGCTTCACGTTCCTTCAACTGTGCAACTCAGAGGTTTTGGAGGGTTTCTTTTACTGTGCGATGGATTCATTTTTCAGAACACGCTCTTTCCGGTTAATGTGTAAAAATAATAAAAATCAGTTTTAAAAAAATTAAAAGTCTCACTGGTTGATACCGATTCCCAGTTTTCTCTGACATTTGATCAGTTTTTTTTTTTTTTTTTTCACTATTCAGGTGTTCTTCCTATATCATTGGGTTCCGTCAAACTTTATCATGATTTTATCATGTTATTTTGTGGTACTATTGTGATAATGATAAAAATGGTGATTAAAAAACTACTTACTGTCTTCTTTAGGGTAACTGTGGCTGTGAAAACAAACGCTGCTCTTCCCAACTTCAGTCATGTTTACAAATGTTATTGACATTTATGTTCTTGTGGAACAAACTGGACAAAATGATGAACATAACATTTCTAATAATGTCACTTTGCTTTTGGGTCGTTTAACATCTTCAAAGGAAATTGAAATTTTCACAATAAACAACAATAATGGCTCACACCTAATTGATCCCAGTTAAAGAAATGTTAAATGATCAGTATTAAAATCAACTCCTGACACTTTAGTCGATGTGCCGTCATCGATGATTTACGGAAAACTAGTAGATTTCTGGTTTTTCTTCAGGTCTGAGCTGCAAACCTCAACATTTTCCTAAGGACTTTGACATAAAGAGAAGAAATGCACCGTAGATTATTGATAGAGGTACTGATTATTAATCCGAGGGTTTCTATACATTTTTTAATGTGAAGCAAATTTGCAGAGTTCTCAAATATCTTTAGTAAGTTCATAAATGATACAGCAAATATTGTGACAAGAGCCAGATATAAATATCAAAACTTTCAAGACAACAAAATAAGGAAAGAAGGACAGGAAAAAAGAAAAAGTGAAGGAGGAAGAGAAAAAAACCAACACAAGGAATAAAAGAAGGAAGGAGAAAAAGAAGAAAGTTAAGAAGGAAAACCAACAAATGACAGATTGACATATGGAAGGAAATGATTAAAGAGGCATGAGGAAGAAAGGAAGGAATGAAGGAGACAAGGAAAAAAGAAAAAACTGATGGAGAGACGGCAGAAACAAGAAGGAAACAATTGAGGAAGCAAAAAGATAGAAAGGAGGAAGATTGGAATGAGGACGGGTCATAAGACAAGGAGACAAGGAAGAAAGAAAAGGTTTAATGGACGGAGGGAGGAGGAAGATAAATGGGGACAAGGAAGTGAAGCAGACAGGAGACAGAAGAAAAGAAGGGACAAAGTGAAGGATGAAGGAAGGGCATAAATAGGAAGACTGGAAGGATGCAAGGAAAGGAAGAACAAAGAAAAGAGAAGGAAGAAAGAAAGGATATTTGGATAAAAAAATAAACATCAAGAATAAAGGGTGGAAGAAGGAAACTTCTAGGGTCAAGTAAAATGTTTTGCATGATCATTCAGAGCTGGAAAATGTTTAAATCAATCCACACTTTTCATTTTTAAATGAAATTCAAACAAGCTGCATCAAAGTGCATGGATGTAGTCCATGAGTTTATAGTCTGGAAAAAAAAGCAGCTCCTCTGATGCATTTAATGAACAGGATAAAAATCTGACTTTCTTGATAAGAGGTCTTCTGACCTCTTATCCATCCTTGGAAACCAAAACATAAAAATAAAAAATCTCCAGGAAAACCAAACCAAACGGCAGACTATAAGCTCCAAAAACCTGGGAGGCCCTTTCGGACCGCACACACAAACACACGCTGCGTCTGTAATGAGCAGGTACTCCGCTCATAAACCGCCGCACAGATCATCATCATCATCATTACGCCTCACCCTGACGCTTTGCAAACGCTCCCACTGCAGTGGAAAGCGATACTCTGGACTCCGTCGCCTCGTGTCCAGACAGTCCGTGACTGGTCCGACTGTCCAGAAAAAGAGAGGCCCATTCATGGCGAACCCGGTTCCAAGCGGCCTGAGAAATCCTGCCTGCTGTTCGTTCGCTCAATAAATAAGAGCAAGAGCGGGTCGGCCTGAGGAGCTGCGCGCTGCGCCTGGCAGCAGCCACTCTTCTGCCCCCAACAGCCACCGCTTCACATAAGCAGCCCTTTGTACCCGCAGCCACATGATATCGCAGCAGCCTGGGCGCTTATTCGACATGGTTTGGAGAGCGTGTATGAATCCCCACTGTCCTCCATCACGGATGGATGTGCATATAGAGAAAACAAAACTGAACAAACAAGTTAAGAGGCCTGAACTCAAGCTTCGGCCGTTTCCGTGAAAATATTCACCCCAAAAACAAAATCTTTTTTCATTCTGCTCTGGTTTCTAGTGCAAATATCTTGGCACACCTTCATTGAGATGAAGCCAACTTAAAAGTAACTTTCAAGCAAGTTATAGGAGCTTGTATCAATCCTTGATATTGATTGAAAAAGTTTAGCTTCACTTATAATGTGGGAAAAACCTCATGCTAGAAGCATAATACTTTTCCTTATCCATATTAACGACTTATTTATATAAAATCAGCTCTTATATCGTGCTTAAAAGCTACTCTAGTACGAATTTATTTATTTTTTTTGCAGTGTTTTCTCAGCCGTCTGCAAATAGTCGGTGTTCAGGCCGAAGCTGCAGCCTGACACTTCAGCCACAGAGGTTTTAAAAAGAAGAGTGCGGTGTCACGTTTCTCAGCATCACACAGCGAAACAAAAGCTCTGCAATGCCCTGGGGGTCCAGGGTGTGAGTGTTTGTACAGCTCATCTGACTTGTCTTCAGGAAACCAGGCCAAAGTACCAGCAAATCATGTACTTCAGGATGTTAGGAGACTTTGTCCCTGGGTTTGCTTTCAAAAGAACTTTTCACGATAAATGATTGACTCAACACGAACGGATAACTGAGCATGAATGACAAGGTGGACTAAAACTAGAGATCTGTCTGAGAAAGAAATGTAAGGAATGCCACATCTGGATAGATGCAGGACCGGCTTTATGGATTTTGCGTCGAGGATGTTTGAAAGTTACAAAGTTACAGTTTTGTGTGTGTGTGTGTTAAAGGTTCTCCGAGTCGTCAAAGTGAAATAATGACCTAAAACAGAATCAAATCCCCACGTCAAGCGGTCAAAAAGCACGCACATCTCGCTCTGTAGCAAGAAAACTGATTTCTTCAATGAATCTCCAGAGGAAAAACCACATTCACAGGATCACATTCCAGCACAAAACATAAAAAAAAAACAAAAAAACACTCACCACAAACAGGCATCTGGCTGCCAACAACAGCTATCCAGCAGCAGCAGCAGCGTTTAGTCCTCCCACAGCTCTGTTAAGTGAAACGCTCGGCTCAGAAACTTAACTCAGTTTAGAGAGCGGAGGACAATACATCCTGCAGCGAGAGGAGGGTGGAGAGGGGAGACCGATGCGCATAAATTAGACAGTCTGGCTGCGGGGAGGCTGGGGAATTTGCAACCACATATGACGTTGGTTGCAGCTGGGTGGAGCCGTCGACTCGCTCCAGCTGCGACCCACAGGGGGAACTGGCTGACTCATGGATCTGCTCTTCAAATAAACTACCACCTCAGAGTGCATGGAAGTGCTGCTCTGTTTGCCCCAACGTACGACTCGGCACACGATGATGAGGTGAATTATGTGTCAAAAGGTAGGTTTTGATTTCTGGTGCTTGACGTACTAATATAGACAAAAGTAATACTCTTAAAAAAAAAAGGTAAAATTACAGAGCAGCGATTCAAAATGAACGAGATAAAACCTATAAATCATCAAACTGAGTCAAAACTAAGTCACAGTCAGCTTTCCCAGAGTCTCTCTGAGGAGGCAAGTCATTTCAGAACAATTTTGGATACAGAGTGAGTCTTTGGATCTGAGCCTCGCTAAAACCGATGGCACTACCAAATACGGATGAATCCAACCAACAAGATTCTTTACATTTTTTCCCCCCAGTTTATAAAAAAATGCTGTACTTTGCTTCAATGTTAGAAAGATCCCAGGAACAAGGAACAAGGAAACGGTCCACTTCATGAAACAGAGACGGCAAGAAAAGGCAGACTATGGAGGCAAACATGGCTGGTGTTTGTGAGCATAAAGTTAGCCAACAATGGTTCTTCCTTTTCATGTGCTCTGACGCAGACTGTGAATCGCATTGATGCAAAAACACAATCAAAACCACTTTCTCCAAACATTATTCCCAATGACGACCATATTTTGTTATCCATAACATGCTTACCGTTAGATTTAATTTTATTTTTAGGGTTAAATGACATATTATTGTAAGAAAACAGTAGATGGACTTAGAGTTTGAGTGGAATGACAGACTGTGACATCAAAATGATGCGTTGGCAGCTACAATACTGTGGTGCATTTAAATTGTTGCAAAGTAAGACTTTTGGCTACTTGCATTCACTGCTGTTACATTTTATACAATGTAACAGCAGCCATTTACAGTGGTTTGGTGACATAGCCGCTAAAAGAAAATGTATCTGCAGGTTTGAAGTGGTGAATTACAGATAGACTGGACTCGCAATGCAATTTTAAACCTGCGTGGTTTGCCGGTCTGCTAGGTCTCTCAGACATTTCTACTGACTTCCTCCTCCTCACTGGACAAATCACCATGTACATCTTCATGTTATGAACTCAAACGGAAGCCAGAGATTATAAGAATGGCTTC